AATTTTATCAGGTAGGGATGGGACGATCCTAGTGACTCTCCGCCCCCCGCGCGAGTACTTCCTCGCCTCCATGTGGCCCGGGCCTAAAAAAGTTGGTCGGGTTGGAAAGCCGGGGGAAATAGTCTCCCCGGGTAAAGCCCACCGCAGCCCTATTGCAGGGCTGTGAGATAGCTACTGGCGCTAGAGCCACAGCTGCGGCCTTGGGGGGGAAATCGCACTTCCCCTCTCCCGGGAGAACTGAGCAATAACTAACTAACTAACTAGATAGCTGCCTACAGTCGGGGCGGTGTCCACGGATGTGGAAACGAGCGCGGTTAGTCCACGTCCTCAAGAAGGGCAAACCCGCGGGATCGCCATCTGCATACCGGCCGATATGTCTGCTTGACGAAATCGGGATGGTGTTCGAGCGTGTGCTCGCCTCCCGACTCGCGGCAGACCTGTCCGCACGGCCAGCACGGCCTGGCAGACTGCCAGTACGGGTTCCGTAATGGACGATCGACGCTTGATGCGATCGATCGTGTCAAGTCCATCGTGGGCCTGGTCGTCGCCCGGGGTGGGGTGGTGTTGGTGGTAGGTCTGGACATCGCCAACGCCTTTAACACCCTACCCTGGGAGAGCATTTGGAGGGGGCTTAGCGAACACGAAGTCCCCCCCCCCCTATTTGCGAAACGTCCTGTTCGACTATTTGTCGAACCGCTGGATAGAGTATTCCGACCGGGACGGACCGCTCAAAAGAGCGACCACCAGCGGCCAGCACCCAAGGGTTCCAGTTTGTGCCCGCCCTTATGGAACCTGGGGTATGGCTCTGTGCTGCGGAGGCCCCTCCCACTCGGTACGAGTGTCGTGTGCTATGCGGAAGTGGCGGTGGCACAAATCGTCGCCAGGATCCGAGCTCTAGGGTTGGAAATCTCGCTGCAGAAGACAGAGGCCGCCTGGTTCCACAGGTTGCCTCTGTCGCGACAACCACCCCAGGCTCGGGTCCGTATAGGCAACAGTCTGGACAGTCGTTGGCGTTTCGGAGGCCACTTCGACAAACTGGCCACCCGCGTAAAGGGGTGGCTACAGTTTTGGGTCGCCTACTACCCAACATTGAGGGGCCAGAAGAGAGGATACGCCGCCTCTATGTGGGGGTGGTCCGACCCATGACCCTTTACGGGTCACCGGTGTGGGCTGGAGGCCTCATGGCCTGCCGTGTTACGTCCCGCGTTGCGGTCGTTACTCTACTTATAATTTCAGGTCCTGGCTCTTTTAAGGTGCTAAAGCACGCCCTGTCTAAACTTACCGGTGAAGTACGCGGTTTGGATTTGGAACGGGAGGAATACGAAATCACTCTCGTTTATAATAATAATGAAGATATATTCTAATAACAAAAAAATAACATAAAAGATACAAATAAGTCTTAACATACCAATGGTGATGAAGATGAATCATACGTTCGTGTCGCTTTAGTCGGTTCTATCGGCATTTCGGGTCCTTGAAAGGGCGGAAGACTCGCTGGCGCTCGGAGCCGTGATACATTGTTTAAGCACTGCGGGATACGTTGTCGCTGTCTCGGACGTTGCACTTCGCGGTCCGGTGTCTTATAAAACTCGTCTGTAAGCCGCGCGTAATCGCGAGGTCGCGTCGTAGAAGGAAGAGATATCGTCGCGAAACTCGAACTGAACAGCTGAGTGACCGTTGTCGCTCAGCTTGCTCTCACGTATAAGAGATTAAAGCGGAGCGCGATTGTCGAAGAGGGAACGAACAAGGCGTAGAAGAATGTCACACGAGCCGAATCTGTCACGATGTAAATTAGAGCCGGAATACTGAGAGCTTCCCCGGTTTTGAACAATCCTTTTATAAGTTCTTCCCCCCTTCCCTTTGTTAGAAAACGCGCAAGATACGGGGTAGCAACAGGCTATTATTCACGATGGTCGCCGAAGCGAAGTTTTAGAATCGCTGACGTTTCCGTCAGCGTCTCGAAGAAGGACAACCACACCCGTTGCTTCCACGTGTCGCTGAATTAACGGTTTTCGCTCGGTCTTCGCGTTTGAAAGTAATATGATAAAAGTGTGCAATGAAAAGAGGTTCTGAGAATACAGGATACAACAGCCAACGTGGTCGGCAAGTCCTCCGCTCGACACAGCGGAGGATGGCCATCAGGCTGATCCGGAGATATCGGACCACCTCCCATGAGGCGGCTATTGTGTTGGCGGGGGTGATCCCGTTCGAGATACAGGCGGAGGCCGACAGCCCTCCGCCTCGCAGGGCACCCCTCAACGCCCGATGTGGTCGAAGAATGGAAGCATCAGTCCCGACGGATGGCCCGCGATGCGTGGAGGATGCAGCTCGAGTTGAGATGCGTCGCCCGCAAGAGGGCAGTCGGGGCAGTCCTTCCATGCCTGGATGCAAGGATCGACCACGGCCATGGTAGGCTGAGCTACTGCCTCACACAGGTGCTCACCGGACACGGTTGTTTCCGTGAGTACCTATGCAAGATCGGGGCGGAGGCGACGGCTGCGTGCCACCAATTCTGCGCGGAGTGTGCCGTCCCCTACTCCGGAGGTGGGATCGGAACGGGGAGCCCTCGGGCACCCTGAACCGCCTCACTCCTCTTCAACAACCCGCACCGTTGTAAAACAAGGGGTTGCCTGCGCGTGGTGCGATGCATAGCGTCACAGACGTGATGACCCTCGCGTCGCCCGCGGGACAACCGGGCCGAGGAGGTGGTACTGAGGATACCACCTCCTTTCGCAGTTGGCCCACGAGAAGACAGCGTCGAGAGGTGACTCCTCGACGCTGTAAGTAGGAGGTGGAGGGACGGCATCATATGCGACGGACCCCCCCCCCCCAGAGAAGAGCCCTCCCTCAAAGTCTAGAGGGAGGGCAAGGACGGGACTGGTCGCGGTGAGTGGTCGAACGATCTCGTAGCCAGCCCTCACACCCGAGAGGGTCACCGGGGGGTTTTTAACGGATGAAACCCCGCATTGGCTGTCTCTGCCCCCAGCGGAGGCGGTTCACCTTCAACAAGGTTTTCCTCCGTCCGAAAAAAAAATCAGACACCAAAATGTTTCTTAAATTAATATTTTTCAACATTTTATTTTACTGACAGATTACAAACTGAAATTACAAAAATAAAAAGTGAAACCGTCGCATCGGTATACGAACGGGGATTCGGACGGGGTCTTCATGAGCGCGTGAGAGAAATCATGCTACTCTCGGCGTTTAATTTGCTTGAGATTTTTTACCAGGCCTGGGCCACTCGGCCGTCGCGTCCGTAAACATGTGACGTAGGACTTTTGCTGAGACAATCAAAGTGACCCGAAGCAGAGCGCACACGGCACCACCCAGGCAGATGTAGGAAATGCTTGTGCTGGGTGACACCGAGTAGGGCATAGGTGGGCAGAGCTCACGCACTGGGTAGAATATATTTGTGTGAAATACCCACACGGGGGGGGGGGTATGGAGCGGTAAGGGCTGACGCGGTTATCCCACAACTTCTGGCATCACTGTTCCTAGTATGTGTGTACCCTCACGAGCAAACTCGGTTTCCTCTAGGGCAGCGCTGGGCAGTAACAGGGCACCTCACGCGCCTGTTTCCTCTTCCAACCTTGCTTTCGCGCCGTCTGCCTTCATACAAACAAAGACGCCAGGACTTTTGTCTCTGTCACTCCATGGTAACGGTGGACGGTGGTGGCTGGTTAATTTGCCATAAATTGCACTAATTTCCGATACCAAATTGTAGGAGGCCCTTCCCCTACGCCACTTTTTCCCCTAGTGGAAACCGAGTTTGCTCGTGAGGGTTTCAGTATTCCATTCCTTGCTAGCGAAACCGGGGCAATAATCTATGTATGTATCGCTATATGCTGTCTCGGGTGTGTGTTCTGTGCGTCATCACAGTGGCGATCGTAGTTCCTGAAATCGGAAACTTTTATGTGGAGTGTGCTCGAACCAGCGTGTTTTCGTGGGACACCAAGTCCCTTAAGATGTTATGTCTTTCTTATATCGCGTCTGTGCTATAGCATCGATGAAACTACAAATCACTCGGTAAATGTAACCTCGCAACACGAAAGGCATATGTAGTTATCGAACCGTATCGAGAGTTTTGTTACGCTGTTGCCACATGTTCCCTCCACATGTTATGGAGCCTCTATATTAAAATCATCATTAAAAAAAATGCACGTATAAATAAACATAAACATAATTTTTTTAATTAAATTTAATTATTATCAAATAAGATTTAAAGTAAAAAACGATATTTTTAACATTTCATAATGGTTTAAGTATTTATTAAAACATGTGTATTACATTTTTGGTAATTTCATAGAATGGCTAAACTTTGTGAATTGGCCAAAATTTTAAGAAATACATACTCAACTATTTCATATAAATCATTTATAAGCAGCATCTTCACTGTATAAAATGCATATCAATATATTATATCCGAAAAAGGTTTAATGTAATTAAAAAAAATAAATTCAGCACCTACTAACTTTTTAATTGTTATTTATAAGTAAATTCCGTAATACTGCCCGATTTTCAGTCTTGTCCGTAATACGGAGCCCCGAGGAGCTCCCAAGCGTAGATATCCCCCTTAACATTACTTTCGTTAAACCAAAAGTGAGGCGCGTGTCGGTCAATGTAACTATACAAATAGGCTAATCTGTAACAACATGACTCAACCTCCAAGTAAGGAACGTTTTCTCTATCTATAATAAAGAGAAAAAAAACTGCTCTACTTCACAAAAGGTAGGTTAGAAACGGCATTCAAGACATCATAATACGAGATACCAAAACGGGCACAGGCTCCGAAACTGGGGGCACGGTAATAGGGGCTCCGTAAAGCCGCGTACTCACCAAGCGAGCGAGCGAGCATTCTCACTCAGGGCTCGTTTGATGTGTACCGCTGAATGATCCGACTCATGTCGGTACATCAAAAGAAAGACGTGTTCGCGTTCGTCTGATGTAGACGGATACTTGTTGCATTCGATTGCGCTGCCCCGGAACGTTCTATTCCGTGTGAAATAAAAATGGAATAGTGTAATGAAAACATTATTAAACTTATAGAGGCTTACTGTAGCCAAGAATCGTAACATATTTTTCCTATATACTTTGTGTCACTTTTCATTTTTTTGGTTCAAGAAGTTGTAGAAATTTTTTTAATTTTCGTTCAACATTCTGCAGAAATTTCGGAACATTTCATATCCTTCTTTTTCCTACAAGTCCCTTAACAAATGGCTTCCACTATACCCTTGTCTGTTTTTAAACAGTGAAGTTTGCCACCATCGTTTATCTTCTTTTCTTTGATTTTATTTTTTGCACTTAACTACAACACAATAAAAACAGCACTTGCGCAAAAAAAATTTCTTCGTTTTCATTATTTTACAATCTGCTCGCGCTCAATCTTCGGATCAATTGCGAACAGAAATGAATTCGTTCCAGTGTGGACGTGGGGCGAGCATTCCAGTTGAACACGAGCGAACCCTTGCGAGCTTTTGCGATCACGAGCGAGCACTCGATTGATGAGTACGCGGCTTAAGGGGGGAGACTCCTTTGGGGCCAACTCCGAATCGACCGAAATGCTGATGTAAACAATCGGACGCTAGCGAAAACACGTAATCGATAATTGGGACGGCTTGATAATACGACATTTAACGGCAGTACCTACAAATAACTAAAGTGGGTTCGTGTAGCGGCTATGTGAAGGCACTGTTGCCGGACATTATCGATTTTTCTTACCCTGTTGCCTCATGTCCCGCATTACAATTCTGCCCATCAGGAGAACGATGGAATACGTACGGCCTACGGCTCGTGGCTAGAATTAGATTCTCGCCAAACGTAGGAAACGAATGGCTCAAACCGGAAGAGATTCGAGAATGAAACAATATTTACGTACCAATTGTATGCAACGATAAACCTATTCTATTCGTACTTGCAATGATGCTTATTTTTTTAATCAATGGAATTACATACGAAATACTTGAAATGGTATTCCCGAGAAACAAATTGTACAAATGGCACAATATACAGGGTGGGGCAATAACTATGTCCACTTTGAATACTGCCGTTATTTGTAATAATATGAAAAAATGTTATATACAAAATTAATACGGTATAGAGAGGGGCATATTGTGAAACATTTTCTGCGTGAGTGGAGACAAAGAGGAGATTTCAAGGTCATCTCTATTTTCTTTAATGAAATGCTATGTTTTTTTTATCGTGATGTGATACAGGTGTTGAGACGACTTCAGCGAGCTATTATTGAAGGTCATGCAAGGTCAAATGTGATAGTAAAATAAACTTTCTTACATTACAGGAGATGCTCGAAGTGGTGACCGTTTACGTCAATGCAAAGTTGCAATCTTCGTATCGCTGCATCACGTGCATGTCATATAGTTTCTGAACTTATTCCAGCATATGCTATATTATTTCATAGACCCTCACTTTTTCATAAACTAATGGTTTTGTAACATTATTTATGTTGTGGCAATACATCGCGTATAGCTAAAAATGTAAACATCTCATCAGTTCGTAACATAAACATGAATCGGTAGTCAATCACGATCCACTGCTAAGTCAAGTAGCTGCGAGATCATCAAAATGAAGTTTTCTATCGAAGAGTAAGTGGATATGATCCTCATTTATGGAGAAATGCGACAAAATTCGATACGAGCTCAATCCTTGTATGCTGAACGATATCCAAACCGTACACATCCTTCGCATCGATTTCAAAGTTGTGCAAAAATTGAAAGAAATTTGGGTACTCGTAAGAGCAGTCGTCGTAAAAGAATAACTGATGAAAGAAATGAAGTTGGTGATCTTGCAGTTGTAGCTCATAATCCGCAGATTAGGTCCCGACAGATTGAACGTGAGTCGGCTGTCAGTAGCAGGAGCATGCTACGAATACTTGCACGGCATAAATTTCATCCATACCATATTACTCTCCAACAAGAGTTACACGGTACGGATTTTATGAATCGTGTCGCATTTTGTCAGTGGGCTGTACACAAAATACATATCAATGAAACATTTTTTTCTTCAATACTGTTCACCGATGAAGCTACGTTTACTAACCATGGAAATCTCAATTTGCGTAACATGCATTATTGAAGTATCGATAATCCACACTGGTTAAAACAAGTTGAGCATCAACTAAAATTCCGCTCCGGCCTCTACACGGGTGGTCGGCCATTTTTTTTTTTAACGTAGGGGAAATGCCTTATGCACACCTCGAAGTCCTGGGGTAGGACTCCGAGGTACTGTGGGACTCACACCCACTAAAACCCCTACGACAGCCATCTCGGGCGGAACCTGTGGTGGCGGGATCTCTAACGAACACACCGCCACCACCGCACCTGTGCTCCCCGAGGATTCACCTCGAGGAGCCCGTTCCGTGGGGGCGATCGAACGCCCCCCAAGGGTGACCTATACCCAGGTCACCCCCCCCCTTCGCCACTCCGCCGGTGCCAGAGGACTGCACCCTGACACCGGCCCAACCCCGGGCCGCTTTGGATGCAGTTGGGTACACCACCCCACCTGCATCAGCGGCCCCGGCAGGCGAACGTGCGCGCGGAGCGGGGAGCTACCAAGGCGTAAGCCCCGGCTCCCCACGTCTCCGCACACACGCGCTCGCCTAACCCCCGACAGGTCCAGCCTGCCCGGGCGCGTGCGCGGAGCGAGGAGCTATCAAAGCCTAAGACCCAGCTCCCCATGTCCGCGCACGCGCCC